ATAAGCTTTCTCTTATTAAATTTCATAATGAAACTAATCCAAAACTGTATATTGTTCTTAAGCTTTATAAATTATCTTTTTCTTAGGGTCAAAGAGAACTTGAAGCTCCACACAAGTTGCACATAGTGGGAATAGAAATAAATGTCTCTCTTTGGACAATAAACATTGCTGACCTCTGGCATAGCACACATTGTTGATAAAAAAAAAAAAACATTCCATGGCATAGCCCTTCAATTTTAACTGAAAAAAATTATATATATATATATATAAACTACCAAAATTTAAATTGCACAAAATAGTAAAAGGGCAAAATGTTCTGCAGCCCAGATTTTTATACTAAATATTTTCCAATATGAAATACACAATTTTCCAGAACATCGACAGCTAAAATAGTTTATTATCAAGCTTTGACTCCTGACCTGCTAAGCAGTTATTAATTTTGTTAAAATGTTCTCTCACATTTTACTACATGAAGAAAGTACTGAACAGCAGCCTGATAGAGACGCAGTGCCTCCTCGAAGTTCTGAGCTTTATCCTCCTGAGCTGCCTTGCTGGCGAGATCAATCGCTTTCTGAAATAATAGAGAGAGAACAAAACAATCGTAATTATAACACCACCTGTTTGTACTGATGTTAAAAGGAAAACCTAGCAGCAGAGTTATTAAACTAACAACTATTATGAGGCCACATTAAACCTGTTAGCTTGTCAAGATAACCTCATTAGCTTCCTTTAGAGTGAGTAAAAGCTCAGCAACCGCATTACAACAAACTTCAGTGCTAGAAACGTCGCAGAAAACACAGAAAAATTATGTCAGCCAGAGCTGGTCACTTTATTCATCACAAATTAACCACCGACCTGTCAGCGAATTTAGCTAGCAATGCTAATTAGCCTCTATTGTTAGAATCGTTACACACTTTGAACATATTTAAAGGGAGCAATATCTTGCAGAAAGTTAAAATACCACCTCACATGTCTGGATTATATTACTATTAACACTTTAAGTAGAGATATTTAGGCTTAAAAAACTTTTTTTCTGTAGGTTGCCGGAGCGCTGTAGCGAAGCTCAAGGGTTGGTCGCAACACTTACCTGTAAATTATTGTTGGCCATAAGGGCTATATCACTGGCTCGATATCCCACAAAAACGCCACAACAGTGGGGAAAAAATACTTTCAAACACTCTACGTTAAATTTCAGCCGCACATGTAAACTGCCAGCTCGATAATCGAGGTTTAGAGCCGAATTGTTTTCGTTTGTCAGATCGCCTGGAGTCAGATCAGGGAAGCTACTTCCGCATTGAAAAGTCGATGTTCGCGTGCACGGAATGTGATGACGTCAAGACGTCGCTGCAACAACGCCCTTTCCTTTTTAAGAGGAAAACAAAAACAATCTCATTTTATTCTACAACAGTAAATTGAAAATAAGTGTTAATTTGCGGACATTCTCCTCCAAAAATACAAGTATTTACTTTCTAGAGGTAGTTAGGTGAAAATCTAAACCAAACAATAATCTATTCTATTTTCTTATTTTTATTGTTAGCTGAAGTGAAACACTATATAAGTAGAGCTCAGACAGGAGGTGTACAGGTCAATGTTCTTACCTCACGCGAGGTAAATTTAACAATACTCAGACCTCCTATCACCAACACAAATCGTAGTTTGTACTTCTTCATCGCAGACAATACTGTCCACATGAAATAAAATGCAATGTAATGACCTCTTTATTCTCTAGATACTGTTGTAGATCTTCCACTCTGTCCAGATACTGTTTACATGTATCTCTAATCTTCTGGTTGCCATCTTTCCCTTGAGGTTCACCTGAAACGAGCAAACGGAATTCAAATAAGCATCACAAAAAGAGAACACTTGTCATGAAATATCTTTTGCTGTATTGTTACCTACTGTAAGAAAAAACAATGACTGTGGAATCAAACAATACATGTAACAATCAAGCCATGGCATTAACAAACTAAGTACGATCTAAATATTATGCCAGTAATATAGTAATGTTTGTGACATCAGCTATGTAAGCATTCCACCATTTCAACGCACGTTTCAAAATGTGAAGAAAATACTTGACGGCGTGCTGGTAGGATCGAATGGCCTCCTCATAGTTTCCAGCCTGGTCCTCCTGTGAAGCTTTCTGTGCTACAGCAATAGCTTTCTAAAAGAGCAAGAGATTAATCACACTATATATTGTAATGTTAAAGATGCAATTTCTTCCAGCCATGATAAATCGTTTAGCTTATCCATTTGGCTTTGTCACTGTAGATCTTGTTTCTCCTTTTCACCTTATCCTTATTTATCTTCTGTCACACTGGCCCTCTGTATGTCATAGGAGTGGACTGATTGAGTTAGTCATAAAAAAAGAGTCAGTATTAAAACTAGCAGGTCAAACTTTTTAAAAATTTTGATGGGCCAGAAAACGGTAATTGGTGCACCCCATAATATCCTCTTTCAAAACTACTTGGTATCTTCCTGTTTTCCTCTTCCCTGACAGTTTCATATTCAAACTCCTTTTTCCGATGTATCCATTATCCTTTCTCTGTGCTTGTCCAAACTATCTCTGGGTGATGGGTTTGGACTTTTTGCCAAAAGAAGTCTCATATTCAGTTAGCCAGAAGTCATGTACTCCTGTGCAAGCCTGTGGAAGAATGAGACCAAAACTCCTTTTTGTGATAAAATCACCATGTTTGGAAAACTAATACAACACAATTTCAATTAGAACACAATGGCCACAGTGATTTGTGGTGGTGGCAGTATCATGTATGGGTGCTTGCGATCAGCACGGGAAATGATAAAAAGATTTCCCGGCCTATTCATGGAATAGTTTAGATAAAAAAATAAAATAAAATTGGCAATGACATGGATGTTTACCACTGATTTATTGAAACTACACAAGATGCACACCCAAAAAACTCAAATGAATCGCTGGGTTATTACCTTAAGTTTTTTATATACATGTCAGAAGAATCTGACATATATAAGCTGAGTTTTGTATGATATATATCAGAGCACTATTTGTGTTTGCTACGCTTAGAGTGCAGTGACTTGCAATCACAGCATTGCAATCTATTGCTACAATGAATTTTCAAGTAACATTTATTATTACTTTTAAATTAATTGCAATAATGTGTAAATGAACTCTAATGTCCATATTGCCCACTATGGGTTAGAATAAGCCAGTTACAAACTTAATTTAATTCGGAAAATGGTGTTAACATACTATGAATCCATGCTGTCTGAACTTGAGCTTTGAGCAAAGAAAAATTGAGAAAACAAACTGACAAGCAAAGCTGGCAGTTTACAGTGGGAATGACTTTATGTACAAACGCCAAGAAATAAATGTCTCTAAATATGCCTCTGACTAAACAGCGTTAACTCTGGAGAAAGAAGCACAGGGAGGAATGGAGCTCACAACCAGCGTCCAGCGTCGGAGCTATGCCGAGATTTGCTATGCAGAACAGACAGCCACGAGTAAAAGTGTTGCCATCATAGATTGTATATTCTCCCACGCAGACGTCAACATGAAACCAGGAAGCTGACCCGGACCAGTCGTTCAGAAAGCTATCCATCCTACCTGGAGGTTTGTTGGCTCCATGTGGAGTGGACCATTTAAGTAGAACAGATTGATAAACTAATCCCAGCGAATCGTCTTTTGGTTTACGATTTCAGCGTCGCCGAACAGTTCCTGTTTGCTTATCGCTGCCCCATCGCTGACATAACGCGTTCAGTCTGGTTGTCCCGTCAGAAGAATGGCAGAAATGCCTGGACACAAGAACACTCCTGTCAATGAGTCACACTGTGAAACTCGTTTTCTGTTTAGCGAGTTCTACACGAAAGTTGCTGTTTATTTTAAAGAACCAACATATTTTAAAGTTGCTTTCACGAGCTCATTTTGACAAATGACAGAAAAAAATGTCATTTGGTTTTTTTTCTTGTTTCGTTTTTGTTTTACTCTTTTTCCTCTGATCTAGATACATTGCGACAAAGGAAAAACTGAAACCAAGTTCTAAACTTGAGACAATGTAATGACAAGCTTCTCCACTAGAGGACGCCTTCATATAACTTTGTTTATAACTGTTTCTTTCTCTCTACTAAATCAGTTTCTACAATCTGTTCCTAACTGCAAAATGTAAAATAAATAAGTGGGACTAAAACAAATGTTATCACAGAGATGTGATTTAAATGTCACACTCTTAAAGCTGTGACCAACAAGACTGTTTTCAAATGTTTTATTGTTTATATAGTTAAATCTGTCTGGTCCCACACAAACGTTGAACCTTGCTCATGTTTCCTTACATTTATCTGCCAAGTTAGAAACTTCCTGGCTTCCTTCAGCCATCAGATAAACTCTATCTTGCTTTTTTTGACACAGAGCAAACTTTAATGTACAAACCGTATGGTCAACAGCAATGAGATCAAGGACATAAGCGTAGTGTTAGTTCACTTAATGTGTTTGGCATAATTCACATTCTGGAACACGCAATATTGTTCAATTTCAACTGTCTTGCTGCTCAGTAGTATTAAGTGAACCACTTATAGGTGGTCCTCCTTGTTTCAGTCTCATCCACTTTGAGGATGCGAATATTACCCTGCCAACAACAGAATGATGCTGCCATGGTTTGAAAACTCATATCTTGATTATTTCAGTTTTGGAACAAGTAGTTATTATTTCTTGATCTGCACTATCTCAGGTCATGTTATTATTCAAAATTGCTTTATTTACCTATCTATCTATCTATCTATCTATCTATCTATCTATCTATCTATCTATCTATCTATCTATCTATCTATCTATCTATCTATCTATCTATCTATCTATCTATCTATCTATCTATCTATCTATCTATCTATCTATCTATCTATCTATCTATCTATCTATCTATCTAATGAGCTGTAGTTTAATGTGAGGCATCTAATCTAGATTATTAGATACCAAATAATCTACAACCAATAGGAAAGCATAAGAGCAAGTGAAGGTAAGCTTGTTATTCAGGAGCCATAAGAAAACAGAAACACGTGTCTCTGGTGAGGGAGTGAAGGCAGTGCTAATTGTGCTGACAGACTTTTGGCCCCAGCTCGCTCACGGCGCACTGAGGAGTTCAGCTCGTCCAGCCTGACACCTGAGAGCTCTGCCGCAGCGACACGCTTCACTTTATTTCGGAACAAGGAGGACTCGCCTCGTTTCTTTTCGCGGATATGCGCCGGAAAAGAGGGCACACCTCCAGGAGCGGGACATAAACGTCAGCCATTGTCAGCGTCTAAAATTAGCGAAGGCGCAGATCCACTTAAATATCTCCTCGAGGAAAAAAAAAAAAAAAAAAAAAAAGAAAGAAAAAGAAAAAAAAGGAATACATTTCATGGACAGCTCCAGATGACGAGAGCTCCTCCACTCAGGCGGAGGGTCGGGTTCAGCATCTACAAGGATCTCTGATGGAGAACACTCCGCGGCGGAGGAGAGGAGCTCATCTCCGGGCCGTGCTGCTCTTGATCTTTTGGACGACACTTCTCAGGGACGCGGACGGCCAGGGAACTTTTAGTGACTTGACGGGGTTCAGTTTGAATCCGCCGTACTTCAACCTCGCAGAGGGCTCCAGAATATCTGCCACTGCAACCTGCGGCCAGGATGAAGCTGGCGCGCCGAGAGTTGATTTGTACTGTAAGCTTGTCGGAGGACCAACTCTGGGTCTCCCTACTCAAAATATACAGGTAAGGGAATAAAATAACTGCAGATCCACGTGTAGTGTAATAAACACATTAATATTACGATTAGCTACTATTATAATTATAATTATTATTATTGCTCAATTTAAATTGTAAAGACAAGCATGGTAGCCTTTATTACACCCCAGGGAGCATTTTGTAGCTTGTCCTTGCCCTGAACAACTTGTACAACTGCCAGAAATACTTTTACACTGTAGTTTCCCACATTTCCTAGAGGAAGTCTCTTTCAGCAGATCTCCAGAGTTCTCACAGGAATTCCACTCTTAGGAATTCCTGGTCCACATGATTAATACTCTCCACCTCATTTGTGAGGTTGATGTGTTGGCTTTTCCTGGGTCTTAAATGACAGAAAAAAAAATCAAATGTGTTCTCAGGGTCAGTTTTGTGACTACTGCAACTCTTTGGATCCAAACAAAGCCCACCCGGTGACCAATGCAATTGATGGGACAGAGCGGTGGTGGCAGAGCCCGCCTCTCTCCAGGGGAATAGTCTACAATGAAGTAAATGTTACCCTGGACCTTGGGCAGGTAAGATTATTATGTGCACAATCATTTGTTTTTTTTAGCTGTGTCCTGCTGTGTCTGATGATAACAGGGGTGGACAAGTGTACATGCCTGCTGACTTGTCAGCACTGTAGAAAATAGGACCCGTAGCATCTGCGCAAAGCAGCTTTACTTGCATCTATCCATCTGAATGGATATTTGCAGTGTTTTTGTTCCTGTTTCCCAGTTCCCTCTTTGTTGTATGCAGATTGACTCATAGTGTTTGTACTGCAGGTACTTCATCGGGTGTTACATGATTATGTTTTCAGTCTGAGCTTCACCACCTCAGCAAGCAGTAATCATGCTTTGCGGCTGGATTCCTGCCAGGAATCAGATTCACGCCCCTTTGGCTGGAGAATTTGCCTCCATCACAACCCGTGTCTCTGACAGGAGGTTGGCTAGCAGCCTGTAAAACTGCCCCCTCACCCTTGCTTATTTGCTGTGAGGAAAGAAAGGATTGCTGTCTCTGGATTAGAAATCAGAAGCATGCAGAATCGGATTTCAGATGTGCAGGTGGACAAGGGAGCATTGACTGGTTTTGGATAAGCCGTAAAGGCGCCCCCTCTACACCTTTCGCCTCCCTGTGGACACTGTGTCTGACAATGGGTGCGGGCTTTTCTGTCTTCTGTTTTTAGCCAGCGTGAGCTGTGCTTAAACCCTGCACTGCTAAATATAGTGTGCCCTGACAAAAGGATGGACACATGCAGGGCTTTTAGAGATGTCTGACTTTAATACGTGGTAATGCTCAGTTTATTTGGGAGCAGGGAAAGCAACATTACTGCATTATAGTGTGCTAAGAAAAGAGTGTGACTACCTCCTGCACAACACTCACCTCATCATTGATCATAACCAAACAAAATATATAACTGCCACTTTTTAAATGCGTTGAGCAAGACTCATGTTGCCACCTATTCTGTTATATTGTTCTAAAGTGAAAAGAAAAATTAATAATTGGTTAGAACATCAGATATTTGTTAATGTCAAAGTTGATTTAAAAGTAGGTAGGGTGCATCCCAGTGTCTTGATGAACAGGCCTCTGAATTCTTCAGTGTCTTACCACATTTTTATTGTGTTGCAACCACACATGTCAATGTATTTTATTAGGATTTTACTGCATGTGCTACATTAGAGTCATTAGCATTATCCATCTTCCACTTAACCCTGACTGGTTTCACTGTCCCCGTTGAAGAAGAACATCCCCACATTATCCCCATGACACGGAGGAGATGGCATGTTCAGGGTGATGTACAGTGTTAGTTTTCCACCACATGCCACATATACTGTTTGCCATGTAGTTAATTTTTAGATGAAGATTTGAGCTGACTTCCATAATAAAGTAATACTAGACTTCACATTTTATACCTATCCCCTCTAATGTGTTCCTTAGTCTTCATGATGTGGTGCATTTATGGTTTCAACTGGACTTAATAAGATTAAACTATGTTCATATAATTATCTCCTTATAAGGTGATTTCTGGAGGCAGTTCATTACACTGGGTTTTATTTAGCGGTAGAAGAGTGAAACATACTGAGCACCGATGCATTTATCAGATTTTAATTTGTAAACCATTTGGATAACCATTTACTTCAACTTCAAAATGATGTATGTGTTGGTATATCGCATAAAATCCCACTAGCACACATTGCAGTCTACAGTTCTTTGTGACAAGACTTTGAATATTCAGCAATTTACCTGGAGGCTTAACTTCCCTTCCCACTGGCTCACAGGTCATCTAAGAAAGCTGTCAAATGTGTGCTCTCTGTGGTTCTTTGATAGCTTTGTAGATTCCTTTGAAACCCACAGGATAAATTATGTGTTTAATGAAAATGTGTGGGCCAGACAGACCTGAATAGGTGCTGCGGTTTTCTTTCAAGACAAATGCAGGTGGCTGTTCAGCTGGTCTCTGTGTAGCTCCAAGCAAATATGTAAGATGGTGGTAGAGACCATGTTTATGTTCAAATGTATGTGGTTCAAAGAAAGGTGTTTTTTTTTTTTTTTTTGACAATGTTATTTACGGTTTCTTTGTTTCCAAATAGGTCATTTGAAGCACATTCTGCCAAAATTACAGCTGAAATAATCTTATCCAAATCTAAACTCAAGAATTTTTTTTTCCAGAATGAATTTATACAACATAGCCTATATTTGTTTGTGAGTACTCCTTGAATATTTCAGTTACGCTGCTAACTGAAATACTATTCAGGTGTGTACTCGTATCGCTGATCTTGATCATAGAACTTGTCCTGAGGTACCTCATGGAACTTCAAGCTCTTGCTTTAGGGAAAAAGGTTTGGACAGTTGCCTTGTAATAATTTGACAGTTATTAATGCTCTTACTTTTTTCTAACTGATTTTTGTGTTCTGTAATGCTGCCTGCAGGTCTGAAATTCCTTTCATATTGTGGAAAATTTCATCTATGGCCTAGCATAAAATTTTCTGTTACCGAACCTCTGGAATACCAAATAAATGGCTAACTATTGGTGATAAGAATTTTACAGCAATCTCATAATTGTATATTTTTGTGTTTTACTCCAGCAAATGTGCACATTTAAAGGTTTGCATTTTTTGTCAGCATCTGCTAAGGATAGCAAACACAATTGGCATAATTATTTGGTAACTCTACCACAGACTCATTTTTTTAATGTGATTGGAAAAATGGTGGAAGAATAAATGAATTTAGTTAGAAATGTTGGCATGTTTAATATAAAAATGTTAAATGTTACATTGCAAGGTTTCCCCCGGAAAGTTTGCTAAGCACGGTGGTTGGGAGCTAGGGCACTCATTCATCCAGCAGCCCGCTCTGTTTTTGAGTTAAAAAATGTTTAAAGTTGATAATTATGTGCTATTGAAAGATTGGAAAATTAATACCTGAACACCAACTGTAAAGGCTTAAAAAATGCATATATTTTAAAAAGGCTTAAATAAATAAGCAATGTCAAAATTCCAATACTTCAGGCTGACATATGGTCACAGGAGCAGCTAAAAAGACAAAAGTAAATACTCAGTGTAAGACAAACAACTCTGTCAAGTATCAGTTGAATTTAGTGCTAAATGTTTTGAGCTGCTCTGCTAAACACCACTGTAAAGAAAAAATCTGCTTTCACTCAGAATGAATGTACTGTGTTTGCTTCTGGCTTTCTTGACTGGTTGTCAGATAAATTTAGTAAATTATTACTTGAATGTAAATATGAACGAGTTGACTGTGGTGTAAAAATAATCAGCACCATAAAGATGAGTTGTTCAAGCCCATTGATCTTTGCGTCATCAGTAACTGGGGATAGTAATTCAAGAACTCCCAGCACAAACTGCATTGGATGATAGTAAACCAATCTGGGAATGACAGATTGGTTTAAGCATGCTAAGTACAACTTTGAAAACAAAGTCATTGACTAGGATAACTACCATTAGCTTTAAAAGTTACAACAATATACATTTCTGCTATTTCTCCTTTCATACACTGCAGGAACATTTTTACAGTCAGGACCTTCATAACTCTGTGTGAGAAAGATAGTTATTTTTTATTAATATCACTGAGAATTGTATGTGGGGCAGCCATATTGGATTATTTAGACTGGACTGGTGAGAAAATATGGACTTTCACATGTTCTTACCTAAACAATTATTCCAACTTTGAACTTGGAAATTTCTACTTTTGAGTAAAAACAGAACACATAAATATTCTGTATCCATTAACCAAAATGTGTGCACTGATAGCATTTGGAATATGTGGTTTTCACTATGGAAGTAGTTGTTAAAAAAAAAAAAATGGACAAAACTAGGTAAAACCATTTTTGCATTTTAGATTTACAAAGCTACATATAAAATTAAAACGTCTCCAAAAAAAATAATATGAACTTTTCAAAAACCAGCTTAGAATATTTTTCTGTGCCTCAGGAAGTTCCTCCTGTGACAGGATCCATCTTTTAACTTCCTCCAATTTGAATGCTTCTTTATAAATGCCAATGTGAGCATGCAAGCTGCTCCCTGTTTGTGCCTTCTTGCCCTTTGACCTATGACCCATGACAAATCCCTTCTTCAATCTGGAAGTGACCTCTGTGGTCCTCAGTCTGCACATTGTAGAGGAAAATGCAGCAACTTATCAAACTTCATTGAAAAGTATTGTTGTGGAGGTATGCTGGGCAGCTTCTGAAAAGCTAACATTTCTACTTTTCTTACTACTACTGAGTGTAAATGCATATGAAACACATGTGTACATGTGTTTCATCTGGCACAGAGATAAAGAGTTTAGATTTCTGTCTTCTTTCTCTGACCTAAAAATATTTTTTTCCCTTTTATTTAAAAAGCCCCATCCAGAAAAAAAGTTCACAAATAGCAGGATTCATTACGGATATCTATTTTTCACATCTAAAGACGGTTAACAGATAGCTGTGCACCATTTAAAAAGTTCATTGCACAGGCATCAAACTACCTGGTCCTTTTCCTGGAAAATTTAACACTTGTTAAACTATTTACAGGGCACAGTAGGTAAGCCATTGTTCTACTAAGCATTTACACTCTGTTTCAGACTGCCAGTCACTCACTCAGTTTTTTTTTTTTTTTTCTTGGGAATGTATTTTAGGAGCCATGACCACACGTGCTTATCTGCCTGAGTGAACCCAGAGTAGACCATGTGAGGCAAACATACCAGGGCTCGCTGCTGTGTGTCTCCTTTTTGATGAGTTTAAACTGACTGGTTTCACTGAATGAAAGCAAAAGACTGACTAAAAATGTAGTATTGAAACTTGTTGATTCAGGTTCATTGGGTTCTACTGGTGCTTCATTTTGAAGGTAAAAGATTAACATTATTTTGAAGTTCACTGTGACCGTTTATTGGCTCTAAATTTTGGCTAGATTCCAAAATATAATTTCTTATTATGATTTGCTAATTAGTTGCTATAGAAATCAAACCAATGTTCGATTTCAGGACATTGTACAGGACATTGGTTTGACTGTAGAGGATGAAAATATTGTAAAAGCTCTGATTTACA